GTTGGCGCGGGTGAGAGAAATGTTGGAAATAGAAATTATACTTGAGAAAAAGTAAGTTTAAAAGAGGAATGTACATAATTACTTGTACAGTTACACGATTATGCAATTTCATGCAATTATAACAGTGATAATTGTACGTGGTCGTGAAGTGGAACGTGACAGGTATCTGTTACACTGTTTTATTGTTTGACAATATTATTTTCTATTTTAATGATTTATTTTATTGGCAATACAATATAATCAGTGTAGTCATTGAAAGTTGTCATTTCTTATAATATATGTGGGTTGTTAGTTTAAAACGGAACTATGGTTTAATAATTCAAATAATTATTTAAATGTACAAATTCTTTTCCAGTAGACTAATCATATTTCTAATTACACCACATCCTATGTTTAAATAACATTTTCTTTTTTTTTTTTTATAATAATTAAAATTAAAATTGATTGATCGATTCCTGTATATAAAACAACATGACTTCTCAATGATTTATTAAAAACATACAATTTAACTCATGTCAGAGTACATTTCTGAATATTTTCATGAAATCAATGAAACTAAAAATAAGAATAGATAAATTATAAAGTTTATATCATTTTAAATAATTATAAATAATATCCATTATATTAATCTTAAAAATATATATTTAGACTAAAGTATTATATATATATATATCTGTATTATATCGTACTCATATATTTAAGGAACTCGACTACGTTCTAATCTTCTTATGATCTTAAAAGGGTCAGGTAGAACTATAATTTAACACATCTCTCTCTCTCTCTCTCTTTCTCTCTCTCTCTACAAACATACTTAAGTTTCTACATCTGATTCTTCCATTTCGTTGCACATATTACATAAGCCGGACAACACTGTGAAAAGGGCTCTTTAGAAGAAATAAGAAGAAGAAGAAGAAGAAGAAGCTTTTGAAAGTTTCAGTTGGTTTAAAAAAAAATAAAAAAGAAAAAAAAATAAAAAACTCTTTTTTAAGATTACCAAAGTGAGTTTCATGTCTCACGTATCAGATTCACATAAGAGACACACATGTATACATCTGTATATTTGATGCACCTGTGGATTCGATCATAGAATGATTCGAGGGTTAAAACTAGGACAGTTTCTGATGCCTGAACAACTTTGTTTCTCACTTTATTGGAATAGTTGAGTGAGAGAGAGAGAGAGAAAGAGAGAGAGAGAGAGAGAAAGAATGAAATAGGGTTTACAAGAGAAGAGAGGGTTAACGATCGGTCGAAATTTGTGAGCGAAATACACCAGCCCACTTTACCCCATCATCCCAAACCCTCCCTCCTCTCCCCACCCTCCCCTCACCTCCCCTCCCCCTCACTTCTCGTAGCTTTTGACGCGGATCAAATATTGGCGTGTGTCGCGTGCTTCGAGCATCACTGCGGCCGCTTTGGTAAATCCTATCGAGTATTCAATTACGGTAGAAACGACACTCATTCGAACGCGAGTATGTGAGTAAATGAATGTGTGTAGAGTGTTATAGTGTTAGAGTGAGTAAGTGAGTGTTAGAAGTGTAAGTGAGTGTAGAATGAATGAGTGTGAGAGTAAGTGAGTGTTTCAGTGAGTAAATGTGTATAAAGTGAGTTTGTGTAGAGTGAGCGTGTACACGAGTGAGTGAGTGTGTAAGTAAACGAGTGTGTGGGTGAATGAGTGAATATGTGTGAGTGTAAGTGAGTGAGTGAGAGTGTAGTGAGGTAGCCAGTGAACGGTTGCACATTGACACCAAATAGTGAGTAAACGAGTAAGTGAATGAGAGTGTGTGAAATTGAGTGAGTTTTTGTGAGAGTAAACGAGTGTGTGAGTGAGTGAAGAGTTGCACACTGATACCAGATAGCCGATAGATGTACAGTCTGTCTCTTTGTAGAGTTAGTTGTTATTGGAGTTAGCTTCGAGATGAAATTGGCCAGGTCTGATGTGTATCACGATTCGGTACTATATCTAAAAGATAGACACATATGTAGTATTACCTAGATATATATACTGTATAGTATTTTAATGCTCAATTTTCTATTCTATTTTATTTAATACTCTTCAGACACCTGGTATAATACTTATTTTATTCTTTTTTTCCTACTTTTACTTCATCCATTCGAATTCTAGTTGGTGGTTTATTTTAATAGGAACGTTTTCGTGCAACGTAGAAATGTTGATTCAACGAAATCTGAGAGAATGTTAAAAAGAAATACTTTGAGAGTATATCAAAATGACAAAAGTATGATTGTCACGTATGGTTATTCTTGTTCTTTGTAAATAAAAAAAGAAAATCTTGATAAATCACTTAGGATAGATAAAGAAGTTAAAAGTTTCCATGAACCTTGGTGAACAGTTGGAAATTTGAAACGAGAAGAAGTTTCTTACTGTTATATATATATATATATATATGGTGTTGTATATCACTAAAGTTGATAAGAGGAGGGTAAGTTAAACGTTTCGATAAGCCGATGCTCTTTTTACATCAGCTAAATCCTCCTACGAAATCTTTTATATGTCTCTGTATACATATATATATATATATGTAACATAAGTTTCTCTATTTATGTATGTATATGTGTATATGTAAAATGTACGATTGTATTACATATGTTGGTATGTAGGTTAGTCATTCGCGTTGGTACGACTCGGAAGCCGTATTACTCGAATTGGCTTTTGCAAAGAGTAAGTAAGCTCGTTAGGACTCGGAAGAACTTTGTTAAGCTTTAGTAAGTAAAAGAGAGAAATAAGATAGATAGATAGATAGATAGATAGATAGAGGGGAGAGGGGGAGGGGGAAAGAAGAAATAGTCTATCGTCGAAACGTCGACTGCGTTTCTTTGAAAAGAAACTAACTTTCCTCCAGGTCGCATCTTTTATTGGACTAACTTCAATTGAACAATTTCTTATCGACCAATCATCGATAGACTTTATTATCTTTGATTGTTAAATTGTAATATTTGACAATTCAATCAATATTCTAGAATATAAACGTTTATGTATATATTATATATATTTTATAGAGTATATATATATATCTTATATGTATTATATATATTTTTTTTCATTCTATATATTTTTTATATTTTATATTTTAGGTTTTTTAAATTTCATATTTCTTGTTTTATATATTTTTTGTATTTTTTATATTTTTTATATATTATATTTTCTAAAATATATATTACATATATATATATATTATTAAAATAATTTTATATATTATTTTTAAATTGTTATGACGATTTAATTAATTTTTAATTAAACTAATAATAAATAATAATAAAATTAAACCACCAACTACGATATTTTATTTTTAGATAAACTTATCTTATCTTATTATTTGTAATTCAAACAAAAAAAAAAAAAAAGTAAAATATATTTGTTTCTCGATTAGAAATTTAAATAACTATATATAAACTAAATTATTAAAAAAATATGAAATTATATTTAAAAAAAAATTATATGATAAAGAAATAATTGTAATTACAATTATATTACACAATAATTCGTGTTAATAATTAATAAATAATACAAATGACATTTTGAGACATTACATATATTTTTGTTTTCAATAATTACTCGTATATCTATACTTGCATATTACATTTATAGAATTTTATAAAAGAAATCTATTTTTTTATATTGCATTCGACATATAAAATGTAAAAGAAAAGATGGAGAAAGGTTTCTTATTCAATCGTATATATATATATATATATATATATATATATATATCTGTCGTAAATAATGATTATCACTAAAATCGACATTGCTTTATATTTCTTTCTACGAACACCATATCTCTTTCTTAGTAGAGTTACAGGGGACCCATAGCTCTTTTTATCATTCTACCTCTCTTTCTCTTATAGCTTTTTCTTAGTAAGATCGTAAAAATACTCTACTAGTTTCATATTCCAGTGAGGAATAAGTTAGAAAAAAAAAAAAGAAAAAAAGAAAAAAAAAAACTTACACCTTGGTTATAATAAATTAATGGGGTTAATTGAATATCTTCATTGTTAGATTTAATAAGAAAAAAACAAAAAGATGTAAAATGTTAGATATCACAGATCATTTTCATTTAGCATAATTTCTAATTCTACATAATTCAAAGATACTTACATACA